CACCTACTTTTACACACTAAAAACTATATTATAGCCTAACTATTCCTATAAACTTACTTCGCATATAAAACATTTAACTCAATCCTAATATATTTTCAAAAAAATTGTATGAGAAATAAAATAAAATAAACAACAAAATTAAGTATTTTTCCTTATTTATTAAATGAATATGTAATTTCTCTTACATTTTAATAACTACTATAATTTCATTAAAAACATTCCTCACCACCGACTCTAGACTTCGGCGAATGGATTCCTCGATGACGCCGTAGATAAAAATGCCACATCATTTATGAACAAAACCTAAACTTACAAAAAGCCATCTATAAAAACCTATCTAATGAAACTTAAACAACGAATATTAACTTAATTAAGGTTACTTTTAAATTGATAAATCGTTTAATACAAATATAAATACTATAGATATAGAATTATATCAAGTTTTGACATACAATATAAAAACTATTTACAGCAAAAAAAAAAAAAAATAGACACCTACTTTTACGCACTAAAAACTATATTATAACCTAACTATTCCTATAAACCTTACTTCGCATATAAATAACATTTAACACATAAGATATACAATATTTTCACTTTACATTTTTACTACATTCTTTCCATTTCATTATTATTTGGTGTCATTAGAAGAATCCACTAAACCACTAAATCGAAAAAAATATACGCAAACATAATGATTCCGGCTCGGCGCTTGCGCAGGGAATATGCAACTAGTTAATAAATGATGGTCTAATCCAATAAACAACACCCTGTCACTACAAATCAACAAAATGGGGCCGAAAGCATTCATTCAAAAATAGTGAAAGGGACGTTTCTGTAGTTTGGTCAGACAAGCAGTTACGTACACACCACGCTTCTTTCATTTACACAAATTACAAACCCTCAAAAGGTGTTTCCATTCATTCAAGTCGTCCATCCTCTACTTGGAAGGATCCTTTGGAGTGTCGGGTAGTACCATGGTCGAGCTCGTTGAACCACCACTCATGAAACTCATCGCGTTCTCGAATGTTCTCTCTGAGACGTACCCTGGCTTCGCATTGGCTTCCGTTATCTCCACATGCCCCGTCAACATCCCTACCACTCGCGACATTGCTGGTCGTATTGCGTGATCTGTCTGTGTGCACAAGAAGGCTACCCCTATTACACGTTTCACTTCTTCCTCGTCATATCCTCCTCTTAGATCCGGATCCACCAATTCCAAATCACGATTCTCTTGGTGTAGGCTCCATGCCCATTCGAGAAGGTATTGTTTCTCCTCATCCATTTCTGGAGAGGAGTTGGGCCTTCCGCTCACAACTTCCAGAGCCACTATCCCAAAGGCAAACACATCCGTCTTCTCTGTTAGATGTCCAAGCATCACGTATTCTGGTGACAGGTATCCTCTGCAAGCAATTGTTAAGTTGTAACAATCAACAACCGTTGTGAAGAAACAAAACTTTGAAATCTTTTTTTTTTTGAGTTTGAAGGATATTTTACATGGTTCCTGCAACTCGGGTGCTTATGTGCGTCTTCTTATCATCATATAGTTTGGCCAATCCAAAGTCAGAGAGTTTCGGTATCAGGTCCGAGTCCAGCAGAATATTGCTTGCCTTCACATCCCTGTGCACTATACGAGGACTTGACTCCTCATGCATATATGCCAAACTTTTTGCTACTCCCAAGCATATCTCGAACCGGTCTGACCAACCAAGTTGCAAACTGTTTT